GGGGGGGACGGTTGATTTTTTCCATTTTCAGAATATCTATCTGTTCGGTAATTTGTATCGGTTGTAGCTTATGAGTAACGAACAAAACACACGGAAAGCAGAGGCGACAGGGATGTTCTCAGTTCTCGTGGTACTGTAAGTGTGTCTTTCAAGCTTATGTGGCCCATTTCCAATATCAATCTGCTTGTCAATGTCAAAGAGCTTTAAATTTTCCTGCCAAATTTGAGGTCGATAGCTTCGACAGCTTTTGCGGCCAAGTGAATATTGTCAACAGACGGCTGGACAGACAGATGGGCATGCTTAAATCAATAATATTTATACATTGTGCTTCATACTTTAGTGATGGGTGAATCAATGGAACACAACACAACGAAAAATTCATTTGTCTTACCGGTTTCGGTGGTCGCCTGTCCAGGATTAATCCAGGGAAAGAAACCCGGGCATAGGTAAGAATATTCATTGAGTTTGCGTGTGAAGAAATTTAAACCGATCGAGTCGAATGCGGTTGCCTGGCCAGTGGGACCGGTAGGAGCGCCGTGAACAGCGCCATAGAATTTATTCTCAGAACGATCGGACACCAAGAATTGATCATCTCTACCCAAATACCCGTCGGGACTTTCGTCGATCATTGAATCGTCTGAATCAGATAAGCCGCGTGTTACTCGCTTAATGGTTAAAGTATTGGTTTCGAGTACTTCGGCAGTAGTGGAACGCGGATCATTAGCGTCGTTTGGATTAATGGGTGTCCGCAATTGAGCAGGCAACAATTCTACCAAGGAAGTACTATGTGGCTGATATCGTAAAACTAACACACAAGTTGAAACAAGCGTATAAGCCAGTAAGGTACCGATGGACATCATTTCAACTAATATCTCCAAGCGTACAGTTAAAGCCACTAAAGCGGCAGCCGCGCCACTGCAAAGAGTGGCCAGGCCAGGTACATTAGTGCGTTGCCACAATTGTGACAATTGCCTGCGAATAAATGAATGAAAGTAAATAGGAAATAATTGTTTCTTTGTTCTCCTTCTCTTCTTAGGTTGCCTGCTATGCTTACTTAAATATCAAGCCGTCTTGAGCCATGGCGTAAATAACACGCGGCATTGGAAACATTGAGCCGAACATTGCCACGGACAAGCCTGCGGTAGCTCCTATGGCCACTATGATACGGCATTTAGGAGCATTTACATATGACCACATTTGCACCAAAGCTGCTCCGGTATTTATATGATCATAGGGTACTACCAAAGTTAACACTAAACTAACTGTAACGTAGGCTAATAGAACTATAAACAAAGAGCCTACTATTGCTTTTGGTATGCTTTTTTGAGGGCTATGGGCCTCTTCTCCCGTAGTCGCAATAATATCAAAGCCAATAAAAGCGTAAAAACAAGTGGCGGCACCAGAGAAAACCTAAATAATGCGATTAATTAATATTAAGTTGATGTTAGGTGCGATGCATACTTACTCCACTCCACCCGTACGGTAAAAATCCCTGATGCTCTGTCCAGGTACTGGAGTCCACATAAAACATACCTGCTGTCATTACAAATACCCATGTGGCCAAATTAATCGCATTCAAAATATGATTAAACACGACCGACTTGCTCGCCCCCAAAGCCAAAATAAAAGTCATAATTAGCGTTATGCTAAAAGCTATAAAATCGGGAGGTTTTCCTATAAAAGTACAAGTACAAACGTTGAGATATGTTTTAAATCATTTGAGATGCATTCTTATCACCAAATACGGTGCCTATCGAGTCGCCGATGGCATTTGCTATAGCTCCTCCTGTAAGTGAATCGAAACTCGAACTTAAAGCACAAGCGCAGGCACTGGTACCTGGAAATCAATAAAAATACTTGAGATTATTCTAAATTTTCCTTTTTGCTTGTTTTGTTTTTTCTTTTTTTGCCTCTGGCTCTTAAGAGAGAAAGCCTTATTATAGAGATACAGAATTTGAAAATATTATTCTATTAGCGCCTCTTTCCCTAGATACGCTTCCTCTTCTAATGGCTGGTAGTGCATTTAGAGTCATGCAATTGTCCGTCAACATCGAGCTTAAGCCCTAAGTCTCTTTCCTCTTTTCCCTTTAATTTCCCTTGGCAGCATTGTAATCTAATAAAAAATTCCATTGATTCGTTATAGATGCAATGACTCGGCGCATTATCTGCGCTCTTAAGCTTTGAATAGAAAACACATTATCAAGTTTCCGAAGAACCAGAAAGCGTCGCTAGGACTGATTGCCGATTGTGAAAAGACCACGACCGTGACCGAGAAATCATGGAGTAGAAGTAAGAACCACAATTACAAATGGAGTGTTAATGTTTGGAGTATGGATAATGCATTCGGATGTATTTTGTAAATGCTTGAAACTACTGAGTACGACACATTTATATCACGAGGTATACGCGAACGGGGGAATAAATCGCGTATATTTTCGAGAGATTTCGGTTTTTCGTTAGGTTAGGATATTAGGTTAGATTAGGATATATCGCAACCTCACAAATAAATAGCTTTCTAGGCACATGATGTTACATGTCGACTTGTATCTCGGTAGGGAAGATGTTAACTTTCTCTCTCTACACATGCGAATCATCTCAATTGCCGAAACGTTTCTAATCGTCAATACAGAAATCGGATGTAAGCTCCTTTGATTAGTTAGCGATTTCGATACATTCTGCTGTGCATTTATGTATAGACATAATGTGATGAATAGGAATTATTTAAAATTTTTACTTCTACCTATTAAATATTCCAATATCATGTTCCATCCAATAATAAATGCTACAAATTCACCAACAGCTACATATGAATACATATATGCTGAACCGGAAGTATGAGGAACTCGTACACCAAATTCGGCGTAGCAGGCGCCTAAATTCGAAAATTATATACATAAGTTCAATAAATTTAAAAAATATTTCAATTCCGTAACGAGTACTCGCCTGAAAATATACTAGCTATCGCGGCAATAATAAAACTAATAACCACTCCAGGACCAGCTATGTTTTTTGCCACCATACCAGCTACCAAATACATGCCGGTGCCACAACACGAACCTACTCCCAACGAGGTGAGATCTAATGTATCTAAACATTTCTGTAAAGTTTCACAAAAAATATTTAAAAAAAAATATATATATATATATATATCAATTTTATATATAGATGAGGTTATGAAGTCATTTGAAGACAATACCGTTAATTTTGGTTTGGCTGTTTGTGCTTTACCATCTTGCAATTGCTTGACATCCTTGGTGCGTATCAGCTTTGGTATGAGTGTGGCGCTGGTTATACCAGGGGGTAACGGTACCTTACATTTAATCTGAAAAATAATGACAAAAAAAAAAAAAAAAAAACATTAACATAAACTGTTATGTATAAGCGAATCTTCGCTATCGATGAACTGCAATAAATAATAAGTCAGGGAAATGTTTCTAGGCGTTTTCGCGAGGTGCGTAACTGTGAAAAATCAGACTCTAATGTGTTTGAAAAGTGACAGTCAATGAACAATAGTCAGTTGTAAACGTCCAAGTTTAACCTCGTTCGCCGTCGTTTACCAAATGTTTTAATCACTACTCGTATAGAACAATGACAGTCAATTTCTTTTGACCGACATTTGATTTCGACAATGGCAGCACCATGTTTTAACACTATGTGTAAACTTATTCATCTTTTGCGAGAAGAATGTTCATGTCGTGTAATTTCAAGAAATACCGATCAATACACGTTAACCATATCGTTTAATCGTTACAGTCACTATGCGATTATTTAATACCTTATATCGTATATGGTACGAATGTGTATTAGGTTTGTGAGGAAGCGTGCATTACCCATTTCACTTTCTAAATCGATCTAAATGTGTCTGTCCCTCTGTCCATCTTGTATTTTTGTGTTGAAATATTTTGATGAAATTATGGTTTTGGGTTCAAGGACGAATGCTTTTGCAACCATATAATGCGGATCGACGCACTTTTTTGGTCGGTTCCCGTATTACGCTTTAGTTTGAAAAATCATTATATGAATAACTGTATTAAGCGAAGTGGTGTACGATATTTAATGGGGAGCCATCGCTCACTACAGTCTTTTTACTCGTTTCTGTTGCATTTTCTAAAATGACGTAAGTGTCAAATTTCAAATTTCAATTTTTTACTCAAAGATGAAAAGCTTAAGCTAATAGATAAGTCATTCGATTTGATTCGATTGTCAGTCGACATTCTCTTAAATTAATTCCCAATTAATGATCGCTCTTCTCTGTCAATTCTTTTCAGTGCTTGAAGTATAATCAATTAATAAAATTGCACTTGAGATAAACTGAAATAAACCTTAGTGCTTGGATTCTTAATAACACACGCATCCGCAGAAAACCACATAACAATAAGAATTCATCAACGCTTAATCGTTCTCTACGCTTTCCGTCCATTAAAAATAAGTGATTTTATTTTTTTCTTCTTCTTCTTCTTCTTTTATCTCTTTTTTTTTTTTTTTTGTTGCATCGCATTCGTATTAATAGTTGAAAGAGACAATCGATTTTCGCTTTGATTGCAACAAGTGCTCACGTTTATGATTTGATTTGAGTGCTCACCACAAACTAGGCTGAAACACGTCATAACCACATAATTGAAAAAGTTTAAAATATGAAAAAAAATTGAACTATATAATAGAGATAGAAGAGCAGCGGAGGGATAAAGGCTGAGAAACAGAAATGCGAAGAAAAACATAACAAAATTATATTCGGTTATAAAACGAATCCTTTTACACCCCCATCTTAGAGGAGACCAAACAAAAAAAAATTCGAAAAACTAAATTTCGTTACTCTATCATATTAGGCGCACCTGAGTGAATTTTACCGTCGCCTTGGAATATATTATACGCGGAAGTTTTTATCCATCCGCAGCGATCTCCAATGTATTTGCCTCATTAGTACGTTTATTATAACAGCTACAGATAGATGGACAGACGGACTGACGGAACGATTAGCAATTCGATACTGACCTCTGCAGTTTCTTTCAGGACGCTGTCAACGCTTTAACAAAAGAATGAAATTTCAATACTCTATAATATTATTACGTAAACGTGGACATGTGCTGCAAAACTACCCGTGGAATGAATACATGAGCAAATTTTTATCGTTATATTGTTTCCGGTTTATAAGTAACGAGTAAATAAACAGAGCTGGTCTCGGGTTATGTTGTATGGCGAGCGTGCGTTTCGCATGATTTGGCCCAAGAGGTTCTTAAGCTTACTTTTCGCGTATTGCAAACGTCCTGACAAGTTGAATATATCTCTTATCCTTCGGTGGTGGCTATAAAAAAACAAATCTCAAAAACACAATTATTATCATTCTCATCTTTGTCATCTCCGTTTGCGGTTGACTATGGACATGTAAATGGATGTGCTTGTGCGAATTTATGACTTGAGCTATGTACGTGTATGTGTAGGTATATGTGAGTAAGTGCGTGAATGCCAGATTGGCGAAATAAAATCTATGATAGTGTAAAACAGCCGCAAAGTATGCCACAACTTTTGTAAGCCTGTTGTTATATTGTTGTTGGACACGCAATAACACACACTTTTGCGCTTTTTGTAGATGCAAACGTATTGGTTAAACTGTTAGCGACAGTTGTGTAAATAAGAAAAAGGGTGAATAAATGTTTTCTTAACAAAATGACCGAAACCACTCAATCACACACGCACACGCACACAAACACTCTTAGGACCTTATCGTTATACCGCATCGTGTTTAGATAACAACGCAGTGACTTTACCTAACAGAGGACAACGCAGCTTGTTGCTGCTGCGGCTGCTGCTGCTCTTCTGCTATTAAATGCGGTTAATGCTTGCTGACTTGGATAGTTTCAGTTTGGGTAAGTGTATGTGTGTGAGAATGTTTTTATACACAAGTGTATACCTGTTATCGTTGATGAATGTTGAATAAATGACATTTGTTTTTAATTACTTCAATTAATTACTTGACTAATATTTTCAATTTTTTCTTTTCATTCTCCTTCGCCCTCTTCCTTCGAGGAAATTATTGTTAAACGATAATTAAAACGTGTTTTCATTGCGATAACCAATTTATATTAATGTCATATGGTGTAACTATATCACCTTGATCAGCATCAAAGTCAATTTAAATTACGGATGAGAAAACTTATGAATTCCACGCCATACCAATACGAAAAACCATTCAAAATTGCTTGGCTTGTGGACAATTCTGTACCGCGTACAGATTGTGAGATGTTGTCATCCTTTCCAAAAACTCACTTCCAGAGCGATAATCGTAATAGAAAAACCTGTTTGACAGTAAAATTACATTTTTTGACAGCTTGTACTCACAGAATGTAGGGGCTATAGTGGATATAGAGAAAAATTACATGCACATACAACATAGAACAATAGTGGAGGGCGTACTTTGCCAACTCAGACAGCCGTTAGTGGGTAACGGTACCTTTGAAATTGATATTTTGCTTATCAAAGTATGCGTCTTGTGTGTGCATGTGATAACGTGTCATGAAAAAGTTCGTGGCAGTTCGCATCAAAATGAAAATACTTTTCCTTTTTGCTTTCTATTTTGAACAAATTGTGGGCCCAGTGATCGTGTTAGGCTTCGTTTCAAGTCAGCTTTACGCCAATTAGGAGACTTTTGCGAATAGGGCAAGAAATGGAGGCCGCAGCGAGCAAAGGCCGCGCTACAATGCCAAACTATATCTATTTTTCCCAAGTTACTTAACATATATATGTCCTCTCGCATCGTCTTTCTATGCCCTTTACTTCAATTCCGCGCGTTAATCGTCCACATTAATGGCTAGCAGTAAAGCAGCAATTGGAAGCAATTGTCTTGCCAGACTGGAGCCACTTATACTAAGCGAATTCCTTCCAATCCTAACGAATACAAAGTGTTAGGCGTTACGTTGAGTGCCGTCAATCCGGATTTCGTCACTGTACGGACGACCGGCGCTACCTTGGATCACAATCTGCTGGCATCTTTTATCGTTATATGTGATGCACTTTTTTCAGCTCCTTATCAATCCACCCAAAGCAGCGATTGGCAGATGAAAATTCGGTCCATTAAAGAACTCAGTGTGGAGTCATGTAATACCCAAACGTTGATCTTCTTATTTAAAGTCACTTATTTTTAACTAATGTTTAGTTTCGCGGCAGTGCTATAAGATGACATGTGCCGATCTTTGCCGATTCTTTAAAGAATTTCATTGACTTTGTCAACTAGCGGTCGACCAAAACGCGGCGCAAGCAAACTATCTACGTCCGGCCGATTCTGGTAGCATATCTTCAACGTCATTGCCACGAATGTTTGATCGCCTTCCGAACATACTCTGCTCGTCTACCGTCGTTTCTATGACACTACCGATACCTAATTTCATTATAACATTTTCGTGTTGCCAACTGTGATTAATTTTTCCGCCAATTTCCAGCTCCACGACTGAAGCCAGCTGGTAGTGTATGTATAAATTGACGATCATTTCTCACACGCGTTATACTTTATAATAGTATGACTTAAGCGGATTAGTATTATGAAGATTACTCGACTCCCAAGTCATCTATTGGGATAATCGCCACCATCGTTTTCCTTGACGTTTTATATAAATGAAGTGGCAAGTGTATGTGCATCGACGCCAGAGGAAATTGTGACGGACAAAATGATTTAGTAGTCTATCTACCAGCTGCCGATGAGACTTGCGTCTATAGGATCGAAATTTAATTTTTGAAGTGCGTCTTCCCTGCTAGCCATAGCATTTAAGAAATTTGTATAGGTGTGTGTGTGTACTGTGCCCTTTGGGAACATTTTAATAGGTTAAGTTGAAGTTTATTATGGGTTGTTGCGAAGGACGGAATTTTGTAAATATGAGGTTATGTATAATTAATTTCGTGGACGAATTTTGAATGTCTTGCTATCATTACCTTACATTCCCTCTGCACTCGGTCTCTGAAGCAAAGCGTCAACCCTTTCATTGTGCCATCAAATCGTATACATTATGTTAAGACTAATTTTTCGTAACTACCTTATATGCTTTCAACTGTTGATTACGATTTAACAGGTAACTATTCATATTTGATAACTGACTCGGTTTCGATTCCTAACTTGTTTTGAGGTCTCTAAAATTTAGTTGTGATTCTGGGCCTGATGGCATTCCATCGTGCTCTGTGCAAAACATGCTCTAATGAGGTACGCAGTCATATTTTCGCGACTTTTAATCACTCCTTGGAATCAGATGCTTCCCCTTTGTGTTGGAAGGGTAGTTCTTAAAGTCCTTATTCCATCTCACAAATGTGGAAACCGACATCGCGTTAATAATTATAGAG